CCACAGCACGAGGCAGCAGGGACCGCCCCCTCCCCTGGCACCCACATCATTGCGCGGGTGCACCACAGCTCAACAGGGTGCCATACACTGCCTGGGAGCTGGGGTGGATCCTCCTATCATCCCAAGCTTCCGGTTCAATTCCCCAGCTCTCTGATCATTCCCCCAGCTCTTTCTGGGGGGTGCGGCCCCCAGATCTGCACACAGGATTTCAGCAGGCTGCTGCTGCCAGCTGGGGAAATAGCCCAGAGTCACTGCCATCACCAGCTAGCTGGCTGGCAGCAGCAGCCTGCTATCATCCAGGGGCCCGTGCCCCCTAGGAAGAGCTAGCAGAAGCAATCAGAGAGCTGGTGGAAAGATAGGGAGCTGGGGAATTGAAACAAGAACTGAAGGAATGTACAGGGACCAACCTGAACAAACATTCCCGCAGCCCCTGGCTCGATCCCCCAGCACTGGGATTGGAAGGGACATCAGAAATGTTTTAAAAACATCCAAATTGTTTCTTAAAGTTTCTGAAACATTTCAGATGGCCTGTTTCATTTCAGAGCTGTTTCAGAGCCCTGCTTTTCATTTTGGGTTCGGTGGTTCAACCCTCGAACCATCTGGATCCAAACTAAATGAAACAGTCGCCGAAATTTTGCACAGCCCTAATAGAGATATGCAAAAGTTTTCCACTCGCTAGGAAAGGGAGAGCAATAACAAAATTATAGATTTTTGAGTACATATTCTGCACTGTTCGATTTTTTAAACAATGACTAGTTTTCACAAGAAGAGACATTGTAGAAGTATCTCAGACAGACAGTTATGTCCCTTCCAAAACTATGAATAGAACATTACCCAAGGGAAAGAAATTAATTAATTATCTGCCATTTCTACTATTTCTGAGAGTTCAAAAGATGAGTAAAGAGAAATACAAAAATATTTAAGAATAAATTTGTGCTGTTTTAGAGGTGTACAATGGATTTCCACATGGAATAGAGAGCATTTTTCTTTAGACAGAATGCCCTTGCGCTCTGAGCCATGTTTTCCATGTCATTCAAACCAAAGGACTGTTGCTACAGTCTTGGGAGTATGAGTTGTCTGGTGCTGAGTTTCATAAGTATTGTCTTTTAGAAGCAGTACCATGAGGAATGACATCATATTACAGCATCAAAGCAGCAGCAGCATACTCACAAAACAGCATAGAGGCATTTTAAGGTATTTGTAGATAGATGTAAGCTGTCCCAGAAAGAGTACTTCTAGGAAGGACAACATTAGAAAGCCTAAACTGCTGTCCAGGGGTATTATTTCAATAAGTACTACCTCCCCAAAATGGACCTCACCAAAAGAGATGACAGCAGATTGGATCACCATAACCATAAATGAACTGGTAATCTGCCATTTCACATAAGTAGCAGTTATTTGAGTAATTGTGCCTTGCAGTTAAATAGTGAGCATCATAATTAGAGAGATATAGACACACACGCATTCTATTTGAAACAGCTTCACACAACTTGTGTGTGCACATGCATGTAACATGCAAAAAAAGACTATGTTAAAAGAAAACAAAGGTTCTAAACACAGATGTTCAAGTTATGAAAAGTCAGAAGTAAGGTTGCCTGTGAAACCTCAGTTCACCTCTCTTGTCTGTGTGCAGTATGATACAGGTTTAATCACATGATCATACACCATTCTTTACTTTAGGAGCCTGGTTCCAGTCAATGCACAGGATGGATGATGCTTAATTAATGAACAGTTATTCAGTATTTTATTTTCTCTTCAAAGTTCAAAGTCAGCATTCATGTCAGAGGCCTGACTGAGCTGACCATTGTGGTTAGAAACAAGGCTGATGAACTGAATTCAACCCATGGATTCCATATGCTTGTAAGCCTGCTGAGTTTGAGCAGGGTCCAGACATTGCCCTTCTGGGCTTTCCAAAGTACTACCAGGTACAGATTTCAACGTGAGCATATTATAACAATTAAAGAAATGAACAAAAGGCTTCACAACAGCATTTTCACTTTAGACCCTCAGTCTGTTGAGTCTCCAAAGTCAGCATCCTTCAGGCAGTCCAAAATCTCTCAGGATCCCTGCTCCTCTCTTTCACTCTTTTCCTCAGGTTCTGGTCTGTGTTTTGTAGGAAGTGTTTTTTAATGGCTGATTCCACTTTGGTTTTCTCTGTCCTTCTTATGGGATTTTTCTATTTTCTAACCTCTAGGGCTGTAATCTCCAACACTTCTGTGGGGTTCTTCTTCAGCAAATAAATTAATATGTTTTCAAAATCTGTGTTTGAGATGAGCATTAGGAGGTTCGTTTTTTCTGCCACACCTGAGGTCCAATTTCTTCATTTAAATGAAGAAGCTTCCTTCTCCACATTCCCTAGGAACTACCACTAGGCGCATGGCAAATACAAAAGAGTTTTCTGCCCTCAGTTTCTGGCTGTTGTACAAAACCAGCCAGTAGCATCCCTGATCACCATCTGCAGCATGAAGCATGACGCATGCTTTCTTGGAAGTGGAACTCCTGGAGTTGGATTTGGGGGGGAAGGTAGCTGCCAAACTCTACTTAAGGTTTTTCAAAGGCTTTAGAATTTGGCAGATTTGGACACTATTCCCTGAGGACAGCAAAAGAGGAAAACCTCTGCTAAATGTCAACTCTCTGCTCCAAAGCCCAGTGGTCTGGCTTTCTCAACAAAATAACTATAATAATTTTAATGTGAACAAAACAATATATCACCCTTGGAGACAGCTGAAAAGCTTTGCCAAAGCTTTCCAAAGCTATTCAACTGGTTGTCTGATTCAGACAACCAACATGAATAATTTCATCCTGGGCAGTTAAATTTTTAAAAAGTTATAAAAACAAAGGTTTTCTGGTGCAAAATGTTGGGCAACATGAATTCCTAGTAATATTAAGCTCTGGATATAATAAATATCACAACATGTGTGCATGGGCTTAGGAACTCATTAAATAGTTTTCACAAGTTTGTACAATGAGCACTGACTGAAAGTGGGACTAGCAACTGTACTAGGAAACATTATATGAATTATTCTACATAAGCAATCAAGTTTAAAGTTAAAGTCTTTTAGGAAATAGCAGCTTCAATAAATAGATATCCAGAGAGACTAAGAAAGCAAACAAGTGAGCACAAAATGGCCACCTATCTAGTATCAGTGAAAACTTTGCAAGACTAATAAATACTTACAGCAAAGTACTGCTTGAACACAAACAGAAGTCATGCTTAGACAACCACTGATTCTCGGATGAACGAAGTGCAGACCCATAACTAGACCTACCTTTTAAACTGTCTTTTAAATGGAAATGACTCAAGACTAATGGTTCCTCTCAAATATCCAGAGTCAACATTATACACACTTCAGTACAAGTTGGATTCATCTAAAAGATAAGGGTAAAACAACTAAAGGGAATTTTAAACACAACAGCTAATAGGAGAGAGTGATAATATACTTTTGGAACATATTTTTTAACGGTTATATTACTTTTTGCATGCCAGTTGCATAAACTATTTTTCAACTATATTACATTACAAAATACTTCGTATTTGTGGATGCTACAAATATATGAACCTGGATGAAATAATCAAAACAAACATTTTATTAATAACATCATTACAACAAGTGCGGTTTTAAATTTTCCCTCTTTTCAGACTGTCAAATTTATCGTCATCAGCATTCCCTCACTGTCGAGGATGATCACTCCCATGGGTCAAGTAAAGGTTTGTAGGTGGGTCCATCAATGGCTAAGAAGGCCAATCCTAGAGCCACAGACTCCCTGGCAGATGACACAGGTGGTGGTTAAAGGGAGGGCTGAACCATGGATTTCTCAGTCTTGTTTCCTTTCCTTCTGTTTCTGTCATTTTTCTGCCTCCAGGGCAAAACAGTTTTCCTTGAAAATGTACCTTTTCTCACGAGGTGTCACCAAGTAGCTCTGTCTTGGGCTAGTTTTCCCCAATTTGTGGTGTCAATGCCACATTTCTTAATGTTTGTCTTGAGAGTGTTCTTGAAGCATTTCCTCTGGCCCCTGTGTGTCCTTTGTCCTTGGCTGAGTTGGGAGTAAAGCTGCTGTTTCGGTAAATGTACATCAGGTATGCGCACACAATACTCTGTCCACCACAGCAAATGTTGAATAATCAACGTTTCCATAATCAACATTTCTACCAAAATTGTTAACATTGGTGAGGACACTGGCATTTGTGCAACAATCCTCCCACTTTATGCCAAGGATTTTCCAGAGGTATTGATAGTGAAGGTGTTCCAGGTATTTCACGTGGTCCCTGAAATGTATATTTATAGTTATATTATTTTTTTATATATTAAAATGTATATTTGATAAGATATATTCAATAATATATTAAGAAAATAATAAGTAAAATAATGACCAATAAATAAAAGGTTAATCATAACTATAATAGAAATAATAAATGACAAAATAATAATACACGTAAAATGTTTTCAAATTTAAATTCATAATGGGAACACTTCAAAGTATCAGCCTAAATTCTCTCAAGAAATGACTGAACTACTTCAGATTCAAATCAGAAACTATCCAAAGCTTTGCTACTTACAGCAAACTTTCCTTGTAACAAGTATAAAAGCAACTATTTTCTCATCAACTATTTCACATTTTTCTACTTCCAGCAGAGTTCTGAAGTAGTGTTGGTTGTAATTTTTCAAATGGGTTTTTACATTGAAAAATCATATTTTGGAACTGGAGTGCTATGATAAAAACTTAACTTATTAAAATATGTTCTATATTCACAATTGTCTCATGACATTTTTGATCAGACTTTTTTCAAAACTCTCTCAAAGCTATCATCAACCCACATTAAGAATTTTCAATAATGATTAGAAGAAAATTGCAATAAAGTGTCATTAAAATCATGTTATATATAGGATACTGCATATTATAAGCATAACATCAAGAATTAAACATAACAAAATGGGCCCAATTTGGATTTTCATAAATGGAAACACCTTTGCAGTTTTTTAAAATGTCATCATTTACTGGCTCTAATGTGATGTGAGCTGTTTTAGTGGTATATCTAATCAATCCAGAAGCAAGCTTGAAAGAAAATTTTCTTATAAGATATACTGTTCTTGTAAGATCTCCAGTCTACTCTGAGACTCAGGAAGACTGAGACTGTAAAAAGTATGAAAAAGATTTGAGATTTTTCATTGCTGGTATATGAAAATCATTTGAAGATTACACAGTAATGTGTAATCAGAGTGCAGGCTCAATGGTCTGGGAATACATTTGATTGCAGTTAGGATAGTATATAAGGTATGGCCACTTAGATGACAGAGATGCATAATTTAGGAGGGAGTAATTGGTTGACTAAATTAGCTTGGATTCATTCACAGATCAGTAATTGGTCAGTAATGACAATTTTATGGTCTTAACAACTGACAATTAGTCAGTGGCGGAAAGAATAATGCAGTCATGCTGGGAAGCAGGAAAAGCAGGAGACAACAAACCCCAGACCTGCTGTCTGAAGCAATAACACAGCAAGATCTATGCCTCTGGGCTTGTTCATGGGAGTATATCAACATTAGATAAGACTGAACCTTTTCAAGCAGGCATGTAGTGCTTAGTTGGAGGGACAGCTGAGGACAAGGAATGGAGAGGCAACTAGGAGAAAAAGAAGATACATAGTGAACAATTGGTGTTCTTTGGCAACCAAACTAAAAATCAGAAGAAATAAATTGGTTTGAATGGAAATTGAGTAATATTTTTATTTTTTCTTGCTAAAACAAATACCTGGCAAATGTTTCATGTTGACCATTGAGTATTTGACCCAAAAATAATGATTTCATTTTCAACAATGTTCTGAAAGAAAGGCAAATGAAATGAAGTCTTCATCCAGGGAGGAACTGATGCTGCATTTTAGTTACCAAGTGGCTAATGAATTCAGATTCCTTTCCTGCCACAGGGGATTTGAACCTTCCTTTACCATCTCCAAAGGTAGTGCCTTAATCATTAAATTATAGGGTACTTGGGGTGGGAGATCATTTTCTCAATCTCTTCTAGTGAGGCTGTTCCACCTTGCCAGATTTTTTTAATATAGGCATTGAGCAATAAAGTAAGTGAGATTATGCAGTATACCTCTGAGGTGGGATATTTGGGTTCCAGTCAAATGTATGCAAAGGGAAACAGAATCAAAAGGAAAGACTCAGAACACCCTGCCATAGCACACACCAGACATCACTGGCTAGAGGGCTCTTGTGAAACATATGGATCCAAACTGTCTCAGGTAGAATCATAGAATCAGAGGGCTGTAAGGGACCCCAAAGGATCATTGGGTCCAGCCCCCTGCATGAGCAGGTAAGACATCTGGGGTCAGGTGACCCCAGCCAGGTGACCATCCAGTCTTCTCTTGGAAGACCTCTAGGGTAGATGAAGTGGGAGTTGAACCCACATCTCTCATATCCTGGATGTGCGGTCAACCACTGGACTATCAAACACAAGCAAAAGTTTCTTCTATAGTATTTTTGTACTTCTAGCTACCCCCCGTCCACGCCCCCCCCGGCAGCACCTAAGCCCCGGCTTCCACCCATGGGAGGCATCAGCTGCTGCAGCCAGAGCAGAATATGGAGACTGGCTCCCTGCCTTGCCCCTCCCCCCATGAGTGGCAGAGACAGAGAGGAGCCCATGTTGGGGGTGGGGGCTTGCGTCTCCCCACCCAACTGCCCTCCCCTGCAGGGTCTCATCAGCCCAGCAGGTGGAACCTGGCATAGGAGGGTGGAGAGGCTCAGTGCTACCACTGAGACCACCACCAGGAGCCCTGCACCAGTAACATGCACCATAGTAGAGGTGCCCCCTGCCCACCCTGGTAGAAGCAGTGGCAGTGGCGCACAATTGTGCCCCCTGTTGCTGCTGCATGGGCAGGCAGGCAAAGACTCTCAGGTAACTGGCATATTTGGTTATCTGGCACCCCCCATTCCGCATGGGTGCTGGATAACAGAGCTTTTGCTGTATGTAGACTTGCTAACCTAGTGACAAAGACTTTGAACTAGGTTTACCAGGGGATAGAGAAAAAAGCCCAGATAAATAAAGAAATAGAAAACTTGAATAAAAACCTAGTAAAGGCAGAGGATAGTACAGAATCATAAAAAATAAGAAATCAAGAGGTACTCTAGTCCAATCCCCTGCTCAAAGCAGGACCACCCCCAACTAGATCATTCCAGCCAAAGCTTTGTCCATTCGGGTCTTAAAAACCTCCAAGAATGGAAATTCCACCACCTCTCTACGCCAGTTTTAACTACCTGTGCCAGTGGTTTACTACCCTCCTGGTGAGACAGTTTTTCCTAATATCTAATCTAAACTTCCCTTGCTGCAACTTGAGACCATTGCTCTTTGTTCTGTCATCTGCCACCACTGAGAATAGTCTTGCTCCATCCTATTTGGAATTAATTATCTGACATTTCTGCTATTTCTGAGAGTTAAAAAGATGAGTAAAGAGAAATACAAACATATTTAAGAAGAAATATGTGCTGTTTCAGAGGTGTACAATGGATTTCAGGTAGCTGACAGCTGCTATTAAATCCCCTCTCAGACTAAATAAGCACAGTTCCCTCAGTCTCTCCTCAGAAGTCATGTCCTCCAGTCCCCTCACCATTTTCATTGCCCTCTGCTGGACTTTCTCCAACTTTTCCACATCCTTTCTGTAGTGGGGAACTCAAAACTGGACACGGTATTCCAGATATGGCCTCATCAGTGCTAGATAGAGGGGAATAATCATTTCCCTTGATCTGCTGGCGACACCTTTATCAATGCAGCTTAGTATGCCATTAGCCTTCTTGGCAACAAGGGCACACTGTTGGTACATATTAAGCTTATTGTCCACTGTAGCCCTTTTCTGCAGAGCTGCTTCCTAGCCACTCAGTCCCCAGCCTGTACTGGTGCATGGGATTGTTCCACCCTAAGGGCCAGACATTGCACTTGTTCTTTTTGAACTTCATGAGCTTTCTTTTGATCTAATCCTCCAATTTCTCTAGGTCTCTCTGAATCCTAACCCTATCTTCCACCAACCTACTATCCACCCCACCCCCCAACCTCAGCTTGGTGTCATTTGCAAACTTGCTGAGGATGCACTCTATGCCATCTTCCATGTTATTGATGAAGATATTGAACAAACCTGGCCCCAGAACCAACCCTTGGGCCACTGCACTTGATATTAGCTGCCAACTAGACATCAAGCCATTGACTACTACCCTCTGAGCCCAATGATCCAGCTAGTTTTCTATCCACCTTACAGACCATTTATCCAATCCATACTTCCTTAGCTTGCCTGCCAGAATGTTGTGGGAGACCATATCAAAAGCCTTGCTTAGGTCAAGGTATACCACATCCATTGGTCTTGCCACATCCACAGAGCCAGTTAACTCACCACAGGAGGCAATCAGGTTGGTCAGGCATGACTTGCCATTGGTGAATACATACTGACTGCTCCTAATGATCTTCTTCTCCTCCAATCATGGGTGACTGGTGTCTCTTGAGTCTGGGGGGCACCAGATTGCTGATGGGGGTGGGGGTCTCCCAACAGCTGATCACTGAGCAAGGGAGGTGGGTCCCCCTGCGGCCAATCACTGAGCCAGCAATGAAACCAGAAGTGCACTTCAGGTAGCACTACCGGTTTCACAGCTGGCGCTTCCAGGGGTTGCACGTGCACCCACATGCAGCCCCTATGCATCACCAATGCCTCCAACTACTTTGAAATGGATTCCTTGAGGATCTTCTCCATGATTTTTCCAGGGACTGAGGTCAGGCTGACTGGTCTGTAGTCTCCTGGATCCTCCTTTTTCCTTTTCTTAAATATGGGCACTATATTTGCCCTCCAATCATCCAGGACCTCTCCTGATCACCATGAGTTTTCAAAGATGATGGCCAGTGGCTCTGCAGTCACATCAGCCAACTCCCTCAGCACTCTTTGGTGCATCCCATCTGGCCCCATGGCCCCAGCTTTTCTAAATAGTCCCTAACTTTCTCTTTTGCCATAGTTGGCTTCTCACATCCTCCCCAAACTATGCTGCCAGGTGCAGAAGTCTGGGAGCTCACCTTGCTTGTGAAAACTGAGGTGAAAAATGCATTGAGTACTTTAGCCTTTTCTGCATCCTCTGTCATTGGTTGCCTCCCCCATTCAGTAAGGGACCTACACTTTCCCTGATCCTCCTCTTGTTACTCACATACCTGTAGAAATCAGATGGTGCCACACCGAACGGTCAGCAGCTTGCTCCTCCTAGCCATTGGTGTCAATGCCTCCATGCTTGAGGGCGACCTTGAGTGTCTTTGTAGTGTTTCCTTTGGCTGCCCTTTGAGCATTGGCCAACAGAGAGCTGAGGGAAGAGAATCTGGTGAGGGAGGTGGCTCTTGGACATTTGGACATGGTGGCCCACCCATCAGAGTTGATTCCTCAAGAGAAGGCTTCGATGCTCATGGATGCAGTTTCACAGAGGATGCTCACACTGGTCCGGTGGTTCTCCCATTCAATCCCCAGGATTCGACACAAGCACCACTGATGAAAGCTCTCAAGGGTCTTAATGTGGCATCAGTAGATGGTCCAAGTTTCACTGCAGTAGAGGAGGGTAGTCAGCATGACAGCCTTGCAAACCAGGACCTTTGCCAACTTCCAAAGGTCTCTATTTTTGAAGACACACTGTCACAGCCTGAAGAAGGTGGCACTGGCGCGGCTGACCCAGTGGTGGACTTCTTCATCAATGGTAGCCCATTGAGAGAGGTGGCTGTTGAGATACTGAAAGTGCTCCACATACTCCAGAGCCTCCCTGTCTAACTAGATAGCATGAGGGATGTTTGACTGGCCTGGGGAGGGTTGGTGGAGAACTTTCATCTTGGTGATGTTCAAGGACAGGCCAAGTCTCTTAAACAAAGCATTGAAGAGATATAAGGTTGTTTGCACATCCTGTGCAGAGTGAGCCATCATGCAGCAATTGTCCTCAAACTGAAGGTTGTGGATGTCCTTGGTGGTGAGTTTCACTTTTGCCCAGAAGCACCCAAGATTGAAAAGCTTCCTGTTCAGTCGACACAGGATACTGACGTTGGATGGTAGAGCATCTCGGATGAGATGGATGATGATGGTCAGGTAGATGGTGGGGACAATCATTGTCAGTTTCAGATCTTCCACTCAGGAGAGTGGTGGACATATTGTCATGCACCTGGTCCACCAAGGTGCGCACCACTTCGAGGCCCAACAACTCGATACTGAGGTGGAACGGCAGTGGTGGAGGAACGAGGAGACCAACCCAGGGCTGCAAATCCCACACCCCCATACAACAACATGCCCCCATTGCTGAAGAACGTGTGTATCCAGAATTGGGCTTCTCAGTCACCTAAGGACCCATCAAGCCTGACAGACATCATCCTCAACTCCGAGGGTCTGCCAACAACAACTTGTAGAAACCCTTCTTGTTACCCTTCACATCCCTTGCTGGCTGCAACTCTAATTGTGCTTTGGCCTTTTAGACTTCATCCCTGCATGCCCGAGCAATAATCTTATACTCCTCCCTAGTTGTTATCCAAGTTTTCAGTACTTATAAGCTTCCTTTTTGTGATTCAGCTTACTGAAGAGTCACCTGTTAAACCAAGCTGGTTTTCTGCCATACTGGCTAGCCTTT